TAATGGTGATTATAAGGGAATAATGGTGATAATAAGGGAATAAATGGTGATGATAAGGGAATTATGGTGATAATAAAGGAATAATGGTGATTATAAGGGTTATAATGGCTTCGGAGAGAAAAATAATGCATGGTACTATTAATGGTGATGTAACATGGTGATGATATAAATAATAAGGAATAATGTGATAATAATAAAAGTGATAATAAAGGAATAATGTGATCATGGTGATAATAAGGGAATAATGGTGATAATAAAGGAATAATGGTGATTATAAGGGTTATAATGGCTTGGGAGAGAGAAATAATGCATGGTAGAATAAGGTGATGTAACATGTGATAATAAGGGAATAATGGTGATAATAAGGGAATAATGGTGATTATAAGGGTTATAATGGCTTGGGAGAGAGAAATAATGCATGGTAGTATTAATGGTGATGTAAATGATATAAAGAATAATGTGAATAATAATGGAATAATGGTGATTATAAGGGTTATAATGGCTTAGGAGAGAGATAATAATGCATGGTAAAGTATAAGGTGATGTAAATGGTGATAATAAGGAATAATGGTGATAATAAGGTTATAATGGCTTGGGAAAGAGAAATAATGCATGTAGTATTAATGGTGATGTAACATGGTGATAATAAGGGAATAATAGTGATAATAAGGGTTATGATGGCTTGAGAAAGATAAATAAGGGAATAATGGATGGGATAATAAGGGTTATAATGGCTTGGGAAAGATAAATAATGCATGGTACTATTAATGGTGATATAGCATGGTGATAATAGGGGAATAATGGTGATAATAAGGGTTATAATAACTTGGGAAGGAGAAAAATTGCATGGCAGTATTAATGGTAATAAAACATGGTGATAATAAGGGTTATAATAGCTTGGGAAAGAGAAATAATGCTTGACAGTAATAATGGTGATATAACATGGTGATAATAAGGGTTATGCTGATAATAAAGACGGTATTTGTAGTAACGATGATAATAATAATGGTGGTGTGTGTAGTAGTAGTTGTTGCAGTAACAGTAGTAGTAGTAGTAGTAGCAGCAATAGTAGTGGTAGGAGTAGCAATAGCGGTGGTGGTAGCAGCAGTAGTAGTAGCAGCAGAAGATTAGTTGTAGTAGTAGCAGCAACAGTAGTAGTAGTAGTAGTAGTAGTAGTAGTAGTAGTAGTAGTAGTAGTAGTAGTAGTAGTAGTAGTAGTAGTAGTAGTAGTAGCAGCAATAGTAGTAGTAGTAGTAGTATTAGTAAGTAAGTAATGAGGATATGGTGGAGACAATAATGGCGAAAGTCATAGCAATGATGAATATGATAATGATAATACTATAAATAGCAACAGGACAGAAGCAGTAGTAACAGTAAGAATACTAAAAAATAGGAAAAATAAACATCAATGACGATAATGACATTATCAAGGACAATATGACAATAATGGCGATAATAGTAATGATACAAGTAAGAGTGATTATCAGGTTGGTAAGAATGATAATGATAATGATGATGATGAATAATGATAATCATAACAGTGATGATGAAAATTCAATAGTATCAATGATGGTGATAATGATGACAATGTCACTAATGATAACAGCAATAATAATAATCATAATGACAATAATAGCGATGCAAGTAATAATGTCATTGATAATAACAGCAAAAATGATGATGATTAGAATATTCATAACATAATTATCATGGAAATAATGTTAAATATGAGGATAACAAAACTTGATAATAAATACTACTAATGATAATAATGATAATAAAAACATCGATAATAATGAAAATTATCGTGATAATAATGATGATAATGATTACAGCATCAATAATAACATTAATGACAGTCACAGTAATGATAATAGTAATAATAATGGTAATAAAATTAACAATAATAATAAAAATAATAATGATGATGATAATAATGATAATAATAATAATAATATTAATAATAATAATAATAAAAATAATAATAATAATAACAATAATAATAATGTTAATGATGATTTATACTAATATATTAATGATAATGATAATAATAGTAATAGTGATAACAATAATAATAATAGCAATGATGATGATAATGATGATAACAACAACAGTAAAATCACAATGATAAAAATTATGATAACAATAGATACATTAACAATAATAATAACAATAATAGTAATAGTAATAATAATAATAATAATAATAATAATAATAATAATAATAATAATAATAATAATAATAACAATGATAATAACAATAATAATGATGATGATGATAATAATAAAACTGATAATAATAATAATAATAATGATAATAATAATAATAATAACGATGATGATGATAATAATAGTAATGATAATGATGCTAATAACAATAACAACACCATACCAAGACTATACCAACAGCCAGCATCCACACCTCCTCCCGTGATTACCTGTCTGTTACCCATTCTCTCCATCTCCACTTCGTTAGACGGTTTTGCCGGGTCTTGCGTCTC